TCCCGCCTTCTTCGCCTCCAGCTCGACCGCCAGAGTCTCTGTCTCGTCTGTCGCCTGCCTCCTGATGGTTTCTGCCACTGGTCTCCAGCTCGACTGCCAGTGGGTTTCCATCTTTTTCGCCGCCGGCCTCCTGATGATTCCGCTGCTGTCCTCTAGTGTTCTTGGCCCTCCGGCCTTTCCCCCTCCGCCCTCCCGGCTCGTTGCTGCCCACCCGGCTTGTCCTGGACCCCACGCTCCTGAGGCCTCTCTGTCAGGGGAATCCACACGAGTCCGGTTGGACGCCAGGAGGCCTGTGAGGGTCATAGACTGTACTCTGGGTTTTCGGGATTTTGTCTGTCTGTGTGTTTTGGTGGGTGTGTCTCTGCTCTCTGCAGGCTGGGCGGAGCCGATCAGGATACACGCGCCCGCTGGCAGCTGCGGCTCATCGGCTCATCAGCGGTGCCCTGCTTACATACTGGCGTCTCACAGGAGACCGACGCCAGAGGATTGTGATACCTACCTCGGGGTGCAGTCAGGCCACGAGCTGCTACACCGCGCTGAGCATTCCTAGCATTCTTTATCTCTAGCTTCGAGTTTATGTGTTTCTCTGCCTGTTTCCAGTTCTCCTCCTCGGCTCCAGCACTCGGCACACCTCCAAGCACTCCAGCGTTTGTCACCCACGGGAATTCACGACCACGGACACCTTCACCGGGAGACCCTTCACGAGAGCAACCCCCCACGAGCACCGGACCCCTGCGCACCACCCCGGTTTCCCTCGTCACGGCTCCCTCTCTGCACCGGGAAAAACCCCATGGACCAAGGCACTCAGAGGCACCGGCTCTTCGTGCACCACCCTCGGGACCCCCCTTCCTCGGATCACGACACCGAAGATTCCACTCCTCCCTCTCCACGACTGACATCCCTGCACCAGATCCCACCACCGGGTTTTTCCCCACGACCGGCACCCCTTCACCGGACTTTGTTTCTGCCTCCTGGTGCCCATCACTCCACCACCTTCCCTAATAAATCCTGCTTCCTTTAACCCTTCTCCCGTCTCCCTTTTCGTTTTGGGTCCACCCGCACAGTCACTGAGCACGAACCGTCACAAAAACTCTGTAACTCAATGCAAATGTGGTGGAATTATTTATTTTTTCATTACAAATAAAAATATGAGCATCACAGTTAGAGTCAAATGTTGATTCTAAAAAAAAAAGTTCATTAATTTTAGGATATCTCAGTAATTGTCTGCTTCCCTTTTGCTTCAATGGCAGCAGCACCACAGCTGTATAGTCTCTCTAACCTTATTCAAACCTGACAACCTGTGTTATCGCAGCATGATCTGACAGTGTTCCAAGGAGCTTCTTGTTGTGTCAGGAGGGTTTGTGAATCGATTCGGTGCAGGTGTCCAACTCCAGGGTAGCAAAACACCCTCAGACGACGACTATTCCCAGCCATGTGTTTCACCGTGGGTTTGATCCACTGTGGTATCGTTTTCTCTCCGGGTGGCCTCCTACATCTACCCTTCTGTTAATGCTGCTAATCTCTCTCCTTCAGTAAATAGGACTGGTGGCTTTTAAAACCAGTTTAATGTTGTCATTAGCACACTTGGTAAGAAGGGTCAGATATCACTCCTGTGGAATTTGCTGCATGAGTGCATCCAATGAGTCTGAGTTGACTGTGTATTACATTATAGTGCTCTGGGCTGGATAACACAGTTAAACATTTTAAGCCAGATTTTTATCAGAATTTAATTGCATTTAGAACATTTTTTTTTTTTTTAAATCTCTCCCTTTTCTGTTTAAAAAATAGATTAAATTAAATTAGTTAAAATATAAATAACAGAAATCTTAAGAAAGCAAACCTGCCAATCTTTAAATTGAACTGGTTTCTTATCCTCTATGGATAGTTGTGTAAGTTGTATAAAACATATTGTATACAATATACAAGTCATTTATAATGTCATATTTTATGTTGTGAAAGTATTTCATACAGTTTGTGGTGCCAGCAGGGGGTGACTTCATCTCACCTTTGCAGACTCATCAGAGCTCCAAGTGCTCAAACATGACCTCTATTGTCTGAACTGAAACCATCCTCTTTAAGCAGGAAATGAGGCTTTTAAATGTCTTATGCACTATATGGTCAATAGCATGTCTATATAATTGTCATAATTACCATATATGTTCTCTGGTTGTTGCTCTTTGTTTGGACCTGCCTTCTTTGTCTCATTTAGGTGAAATCTTGTGTGACAGCATAAAATAATATTAAAACATTGCACTTTCGACTCAGAGGCAGCAGTGTGAGGAAGAAACAAAGGCCCATCATTAACTTTTTTTTTGCAGAGCTTTAGCCTCAACTCCATCACGTACCTTTGGGATAAACTTAAAAGCAATTAAGAGCCAGGTCTTGTCATCCAACACCAGTGGCTGTCTTCATTCATGCTTTTGTTCGCGGATTAATGTGTTCTTGTGTTTATTTCACCATGTCACAGAGCCAGAGGTCAGAATTAATGTCTGCTGCTCACACCAACAGTATGTGATGATAAAGAGGATTTACAGTTATTCATTATGCTGATCTGTCACAAAAATCCTTGCTGCAATTTCCTGGCAGGTGAATCATCCGTTATGGTACTCCTTTTTCTTTCAGTGAAGCAACAGCCATGTGTGTTTGGCAGGACTACAGTTTACAAACTCTAAAATAGGCCTGTGCCTACATTGTACAGACTGCACTGAATCATATTCTTGTCATGTTTAGTACTAAAGGCTTCATCTCCTTCTGTCATGTACAGTTTCACAGTTTACATTTCTAGATC